CACAAACCCCTGGTTCCCTGGGAGTGCCAGCACGGTGCTTAACAGTTTTTTCTGGACTTCTCCATCTTCATCCCTACCACGTTTAACCAGTAATGTTAATCAGGAAGTTACTCTGCAGCCCAAATACACACTGACAACGGAACTTTAAAAGTCGCTGCTTCTGAAACACCTCAACTGAGCTCAATGTTAATAACCTAAACTCAAATATGAACGTGAGGCAGCCAGGGCACAACATCCATCCCGGTTATTGTGCCCACAAGGCATGCCCAGCACAGCTCCCTATTTCTCTGGGTGTTACTACTGAAGAAACAATAAAGAAATAACACTTCAATTAAAATATAAAACAAAACAAACATGCCTCATTAACTACCTATGGAAATATAAGATTGCATGGCATTTTGATGGCTTTTTTCTATTATTTTCTGAAGTGGACCAAGATGGGATTCTCACATTACCTCAAAGTCAAAGCTGTAGAAAAGCTGGAAAAACCCTGGTACTTTCTTCAGGTCCAAATACTGGTGTGACAGAAGGAATCTGTTTACCTTTATATACATGTGCTCCTCTGTGGAGGGAAAACAGCGGTTATTGCGGAGGAGGACAACATTCCCAACACACAACCACGCAGAACAATAAATGGAACCTGTGTTTTCCAGTGTTCCAGCTAGCTGCCAGAACAGCACGTTCATTACAGAAGGAGGCCTTTTGCTCTAAGGTTGGTGATATTGTTGGTCATCCCTCCTGCCTCTTCCCCAAAATGAAAAGCTTGTTCAGAGTGGGCACAAAGCACCCAAGAGAAACATTCAGCATGGCTCTGACTCCAGCAAATCCAATGTTATTTCACTGACAAAACGAACTCGGCAGCAAAGCGAGAGCCAAATTGCTCTGCATTTCCAGCCTAAACACCTCACGCCTGGCAATCGTAACTTTTAACCGACAGACCAGATGTGTCCCCCACGAGCAGTGGAACAAGTTGCCCAGAGGGACTATGGAGTCTCCATCCTTGGAGGTTTTCTAGGATAAAGCCCTGAGCAAAGTGGCCTGTCCTCACAGCTGGCCTTGCTTTGGACAGAAGGTTTAGCTAGAGCCCTCACAAGGTCCCTTACCCCCGAACTACCCCCCAGTGCCACAATCCTCCTTTGCAAGGGCGACTTACATTGGTTCAGGGCCCAAGGACAAAAGGACAACCGACCCTGATCTGCTGAACAGGACCCACACACTCACCTGGTTTCACTCAGCAGCTCCTCTGCCCACATCCACCCCAAAATTATGAGGAGGTAGTGGCTTCATCCCTGATGGATCAGACTGGTTTTGACACAAGTCAAAATGCCACTTCCCCCTTCTCCAGTAAGGCAATATGCTTTCTCTGAACCACAGGAAAGCATACTTCACTGCTCCTACCAGCGTCACCACAATCACGTCCTCCAGTATCAGTCACTGACATTACCCCACACGCGGTGGCCGTCTCCTGTTTAACACCCCAGGAGTTCAACATGCACCCTGGGTTACAGTACCTGGCTTCAGGATCTGCTGGGCCACGCGAGCGATGTAGAGGGTCAAAGAGAAGGTAAACCTGAGGTTCTGTTGCCTGATTCCATTTTGCACAGCATCCAAGAGATACAGCAACTGCAGCACAAGAGCCCAGGGGAGAAAAGCTTGAACCACAACCCAAACAAATGCAACAGCAGAGCGTGAATGCGCAAGTAAGCTTTTAGGATATCTGTCAGACCACAAATCAAATACCAATCCCAGCAGGATTTCCATTCCTACAAATAAAATCCCTAAGAATTTCTAAAACATATTTTCCCCCCTTTTTCTGCTCACTGATTATAACTGGAGGAAGCACAAGGCAACAGAAGAGAACCAATGGAATAGAGGATAAAAAGTTTCTTTTAGCTCTCACCACGTGCATCTGGACAGACTAGTAGATCAGTGACTCTCCCCCTCAGTGCCTGTCACCCAAAACATCTGACCTGGCAAACTGCCTGCTGACTCGGTCTTACCTGACTCTTCTCTCGAAAGCGAGCTCCTTCCAGATGAGAACGAAAGGAAGCCAAGACAAAATATGCAGCTGCTCTCATGTTGGAATCATAGCTGCTAAGGGCAGCTACTGTTAGACCCAGGGCATTGACTTCGACAAACTTGTGACAGGCCACGACACACTCTGTGTGGGAGGAGGGAGAAAGACAAAAGAAAAACACCCAGTGTATCATACTGACATGTCATAGGGTATTTAACAGCACTATAATCTTAAAATTTCTATTCCTAAACACCCATTTCTGGGTGTACCCCTACAAACTAGCACTTCCTGGCATGCTGAAGGCTCCTTCAGCTAAGAGAGGCATCTGCAAATCACCCTGAACAGGAATTCTTTTCCTGAGCTGAAATCAGCGTGGTTAGTCTCATTTACATCAGACAGAGATGATTCTGCCTGCCAAACCATGCGAAGTTAGGTGTAAATTCTGTAAAGACATCACATATCTCGGTGTTTCAGGAAAGTTAAGTACAAGGAAGAAAAAGAGGGAACATTCTCCTGCTCAAAACATTTTCTGGGCACTTGATCGTTCTTTCAGGCACAGACTTAACAGAACAGCCAATGAAAACCTGTCTGCACTAAAGGAGTTCTGTAACACAACGGACAGGACAATAAAACCTAAATAAGCCCTTAGCCATGGTGAAATACCCAGTTGTTACTGTGCAGGCATGAGCGATTCTGCTGGTAAAGCATGTTCCAACCAAGGCATTAACTGCACCCCTGTGCCCTCCTGGGACAAACCAAATCCAGCAGGGATCAGTAACCAGCCAAACAGAAAACATACCCTTGAATCCCACACTTTGCTTCCACAGCAGTTTGCCACTGGGACCTAGAGTTTCTCACTGAAGGGCTGTGTGTTTTGAGGAGCTTGTGCCACTTCTACCCACTGACTGCTAGAAATGACTTGATGGAAAGCCTCCGGAATATCTCCTGTGCTATTACCATTCCATTCACCAGTAATGGAATGCAACAGTAACTCAGTTGTATTTTACCAGCTTAAGTACAAACGTACTGCGGTTCTGAGTTTACCCACAATCTTCACATATTTTCTTGCCATTCACACTGAAGGTCAAGAGGAAGTTTCTCAGAAACAAGTATTCCCATTTAAGAAGGGGCTGTATTCTCACTGACAAGTACCTATATTTGGTCCCCTGATTTCCTCCCCCACCACCACCCACACACAGCTGATATATTATTTATGTCCTTGCCCCAGCAGCTGGGCTGTTTCTCTCACCTTTTCCTCACCTGCCAGAACTCCACACCTGGCAGCTTCCCACCCAGCTCTGCCAGTTCCAAGACAGGCAACACAGCAGGGTCTCCACCTCCCAGCCAGCCCACCGCTACATGACCCAAGGAAAGGCATCACTGAATTCCAACGACAGATCGTTTCCGCGAGCAGTTTTGCAAGTTATTTCAATACCAGCAATTACCAAAGCACATCAAGTTTAACTGGCAAAATGCCTCAGTCATTCACCTAAGGAGCAAAAAGATCCCTTATTTGTTATCATGGGATACCTCTCACATCACCGGAGCACATCCAGATACATCTCCGTACCCCCCCACACTCTACTTCCAGGCCCTGGGCAAGGCCACCACTTGACTGCCAAAGTGAAAACGGTGAGAGGAGTAGCAACGACAGGGCAGGAGGAAGAGAAACAGAGGCCAGAGACACCTTATCTATGCCTTCTGCTACCTTCTGCCTGTGGGAAAGCAACTCCACGCTTCCCACTCTTCAGGCATGGTGCAAGGGAAAGAAACCCTTTCTGCTGAATCCCAAGTGAACACGCAAAGAGGGTCTGAAACTTGTCTGTGGGCAGAGGATTCTCCATCACTTACAGATGTCTTACACACAGCCCCGGCCTACACAGCAACCACTCTTCAGGACAGGGTCAAATGTGCGTTGCCTGCCCTTTCACAGCAAGCTGCACACGACTCGCCTTCAGACAGCTGAGAACTGCTCACATGCACCAAGCAGGCAGACAAAGCAGGTAATTTTACTGGGTGGCACCACACAGTGACATCCAAGGTCCTCACTACGGCACTAAAGCTCACGCTGGTCACAGGAAGATTTATTTGGAAAACTGTCTTTCACTGAAAACAAGCAGTGGAAATATTTTCCATCCAGCTGACCTTGGAGAGTGCGTTCAACAACTAACATAAAATAGCAAGCTTTTATTTAAAAAAGTGGGTTCCATGTCTGACATGCAGTTTAAGATACCTTGAGAAGCATGATGGAAAGCTTTCCACAAGATACTTATCAGAGCTCAAGTTAGACCAAGTGTGCTGTCTGCCCAACTCCAGACTCACTTTTTACTCAGTGAGCATGAAACACTGCAATAAGTCTGTTTATAAATTCAGCAGTTATATAACATCTGTGCCCAGGGCACTGTGCAGCCAGTACAAAGAGCAAATAAATAAAGAGGAATTGGGAATTCTATGAGCAGCTGACATGGTTTAGGATCACCAGGGGACCTGAAATCATAAATCACTTGAGCCCTTTAAAAATGTCCCTCTTACGACACAGACTCTCACTCAGCATGGAGCAGTTAAAGAGAACTATTTTTCCCCTTTCCAGTTTTAGAGTCAGCCTATGTCGGGACAGCCACTGCCTCCACAGCTCCACAGGAACACGATGTGCAAGAGCCCCCCACGCAAGTGCTTGTCCTCGCTGTCTGCCTGTAGTGCTGCTGAGGTTGGCCAACAGCCACCAAATCCCTCCTACCGGTTAAGGTGGTGGGTGACCATGAGAGGTGCATGACAGCAGTGCCTTTTCCAACAGTTACACCCATGTTCAGAAGACACAGGCTGTCCATCCATTAATAACAATCCCAAAGACCCAGCATTAACTGGATCATCCAAGATTCCACCTACTGCAAAATGCCAAATAGCTCTGGTACATTTTTTTCCTCAGTAAACTAAAAGACAAAATTACACAGAGCTGCTTACAACTATAGCTAAGTACAGCCTTAGAGCACAACAAAACAGCTACTGTACTATGAAGGGCATAGGTAAACAAAGGAGGACTGTAAGTATTTCACTGAAAGACAGTTATCAGCCTGCCAATTGCTTCTGATGTTATTGTTGTGGAAAGCCAAATCCAGCTGTAACTACACAGTGCTTAACTATAATCAACATAGGGAGAGAGCCAGTTAGGAAATTCCTCATGATACTCATCTCACTGACCTTTAAGGGCTCCCTAAACAGACTGTGCCTGTGACGTAAAGCAGGGATACACGTATGCGGAGCAGGGTCATGTCACAGAACGGTTTGCGTTCGAAGGGACCTT